AATAACCCAATCATAAAATGGGTAAAGGACTTAAATAGACATTTTACCAAAGAGGACATTCAAATATCCACCAAACTCATGAAAAGATGCTCAGTGTTGCCAGCTATCAGAGAGATGCAAATCAAAATGCAACAAGATACCATTTCACTTCCACTAGAATGGCTAGAATTTTTAAAAAAAACAAAACAGGAAATAACAAATGTTGGTGAGGATGTGGGGAAATTGGAACCCTTATCCATTACTGGTGGGAATGCAAAATGGTACAACCTTTGTGGAAAACAGTGTGGTAGTTCCTCAAAAAACTAAAACCAGAACTACCATACCTGCTGTCATCGAGTCGATTCCAACTCATAGTGACCCCATAGGGTTTCCAAGTCTGTAAATCTCTGTGGAAGCAGACTGCCACGTCTTTCTCCCGTGGAGCCGCTTGTGGTTTTGAACAGCTGACCTTTCAGTTAGCAGTCCATTATTTTAACCACTGTGCCATCAGGGCTCCTGGCAATTCCACTTGTAGGTATATACCCAAAAGACTTGAAAGCAGAAACTCAAAGAGACTTGTACACCAATGTTAGTTACAGCACTATTCACAATGGCCAAAAGGTGGAAACGACCAAAATACCCATCAACAGATGAATGGATAAACAAAATGTGGTACATACATACAATGGAATAGTACTCAGCCAGTAGGAGAAATGGAATCTTGATACATGCTGCAGTATGGATGGAGCTTGAAGACATTATGCTGAGCAAAATAAGCCAATCACCAAAGGACAAATATTGTATGACCTCATGTCTTAGTTATCTATTGCTGCTATAATAAAAATACCACAAATGGATGGCTTTAACAAACAGAAATTTATTCTCTCACACTTTAGGAGGCTAGAAGTCAGTCAGGGTGCCAGCTTGAAGGGAAGGCTTTCTGTCTCTGTCAGCTCCAGGGGAAGGTCCTTGTCACCTTGGAAATCTACATGTGTCTTGTCATCAGTCTTCCCTGGCGTCTGGGAAGCTCTCAGCGCTGGGACCCTATATCCAAAGGATGCACTCTGCTCCCAGCTGTTCTTTCTTGGCAGTACTGAAGTCCCTCTCTGTTCACTTCTCTCTCCTTTTATCTCTTGTAAGATAAAAGGTGATGCAGGCTACACCCCAGAAAACTTCCCTTACATAGGATCAGCACTGTGATCTGAGTAAGGGTTTTGCATACCATCGTAATCGTCTTTAACGTAACCCAATCTTGCCTCATTAACTACAGAGACTAGGATTTATGACACATAGGACAATTACATCAGATCACAGAATGGAGGACAACAACACAGTACTGGGAATCATGGCCTAGCCTAGTTAACACATATTTTTTTTGGGGGGGGCACAATTCAATCTATGATACCTCACTTATATTAAAAGACAAGAAAAGTCAAATGTATAGAGACCAAAGTTTATTACTGGTTACCAGAGGCAGGAAGAAGGGAATAAAGGGGGGGGGGTGTTAACGGTGATGGGATAATTACATTGACTAAGGGTAGCATTGCAAAGCCAATTATTGTGATTGCTTTCGATAAGTTACACTCTTGTGAAAAGTCAAACTGGCAAAAATTGTGTGATATATTTACAACAATGACAAGGAAAGAAAAAAGAATGGTTGCTGAGGCTGCTTACGTACAAGTAAACACCTCATGGGATTTGGTTCCTTGATTTGGAGGTTTAGGGCCGTAGTTTCATGGGACATCCCAGTTAGCTGGCCTAATAACGTGTTTAGTGTTTCTGTGCTACGTCCTAGATTGTTACGTAGTGCCTGGGATCTTAAAAGCTTGTAAGTAGCCGTCCAAGGCACAGCAATTGGTCTCTATTCACCTGAAACAACAGAGGAAGAAGGAGAGTCAGGAATAGGAGGAGGATATGGAATGTGTGGCTAGTTGCCTCCATGAACAACTGTTACCGTTGCCATGAGACCAGAAGAAATGGATGGTGCCTGGCTACCATTACTGAACATTTTGATCAAAGATTCTGTAGGAGTATCCTAATCAAAAGGGAGGAAATATAGAACACAATTTCAAATCCTCATAGACTCCAGACTTCCTGGTGCTATGGAGGGTGGATGAACCCCTGAAACTATTGCCCTGATATCATCTCTAAACTTTAAACCAAAAATATCCCCTAAAGTCTTCTTAAAACCGAACAATAGTTTAGCTTAACTAGTGAAAAAGGTCTGCCTTGAGCATTATGCTCTTTTAAGAACTATCTATAGGGGAGCAAATTGACAACAGCGATTTTAAAAGATTAGATAGGAACCTTAGGCAGCAGTGAGTTTATGTTAATGGGAGAGGAACAACTCAGAAAGGGAGGGTGAGAATGGTTGCACAACTCCAAGAATGTAGTCAGTGTCATTGAACTGTACCTGTAGAAACTGTTGAATTGGTATATGTTTTGCTGTGTATATTCTCAGCAAAATTTTTAAAAAGCACCATCTATCAATGTCAAAAAAATAAAATAAATTTATGCATAGAAATAAATGATTGTATCTAAATTTATGCTGAGCAAATAGCTATCTTTAATAAATTACTAAGTGGGGATAAGGGTTAAAAAAAAGTCAAAATGAAAACATATTAAAAAATAAAAAACCTATTTGTTACCGCACTTATTTCTATTATCTAAGGCCTGACTTGATAAAAATAGGCAGCATAAGATTAATTAGAATTCTGAAGAATGGAAAAAAGTTCAATTTATAAGAATTATCACAGGACCAAAGATTTGTTTTGTTTTATTAAAACAATGTTGTAGAAATTGATGTGGTCAAGGTTGGACATGAGGATGGAGGTAAAGACGAAGAGAGTTTTATAGGAAAGTGAAGCAAGAAACTAGAGTGGGACTTGTATATTTTAAAACTGCTTCTGAGATTTAGTGAATTCTACTTTTCTAAGTAATTAGAAGTACCTTAGCATGTCACTGTTTGCTTAATCTAGCCTTCTAACCCCTGTAGTAGTGATTCTGGCAATTAGACCCAACTTGCCTCCACTTTAGCATTTCTCATTTAGTTATTATGGTGTAGAGAATGTTCAAACTGATCAGAGCCCAATCATCTGCTAACTTTAAAAAAAAAAAAAAACAGCTTTATGGTGGTATAATTGACATAATAAACTGAACATATTTAAAGTGCAACAAAGGGCTCATCCTTCAGGAGGCTGCAACTGAAATCTGTTTTCTCACGGCCTTTGCTGACTCAAAACCTCTGCGTGCTTCCACCTCTCTGTGTTTTTCAATACTGCTTCCTGATGCAAACTACTTTTGCTGTCTCAAGGAATTTTTGCACCAGTTCATCTCAGGGATTACTGGCCAAGTTACAGATGTAGGTGGCTGGGTGGCGCAAACAGTTAAGCATTCAACTACTAGATGAAAGGTTGCCATTGCGAACCCGCCCAGAGGCGCCTTGAAAGACAAACATGGGGATCTGTTTCTGAAAGGTCACAGATTTGAAAACCCTGTGGCACAGTTTAACTGTGGACACGTGGGGTTGCCATGAGTCAGAATTGGCTGGACAGCAGCCAACAACAACAACAACCCTTAGGTCAGATGCCTAGCCTGGGTTCAGTCATCTGTGGCCAGGGTAGCAGGGTCAGGTGATACCAGTGTGGCAATTTATGTAGCTAGAGCCCTTAGAAAGGGGCATGCTGAGGCTAGTCCACTGGCTGTGTAATTCTGTAGCCCTTTGCACTTTGAGCTCTAATTAGAGCCAGGCCATTCCTGCTTTTGACTGTTTTTTCACCCCTCCTTCATGGAAGTGTTGAATGGGATAGAACAGGGCTGTGCTGTTTTGATCTTAGCTGAGGAAGGAGTCCTCCCATATTAGAAGTCCCCTGTCACAGGAAGCCCTTAGGCCCCTCCCTCAATTTTCTCTGGTCTCAATGACTAGTGCCAGTTCTCTCCCAGGCTCCAGCCATGATTCTTGGAGCTGCTTCTGCCTCAACCCCTTCCTCTTAGCCTCACATAGACAGCTCCCTACTGCCGGTGACACAGCTCTCTTGCCCGTAGCTATAGCCCTGGGCCTTTGCAGATACCCAAGAACCAGGTAGTGTATACGCCTGAGGCATTGAGAGGCAGTAGTGAAGACAGTATTATTTAATTTCCTTTGTATTTGTCTCGAGTAGTGAAGATAGTATTATTTAATTTCCTTTTTATTTGTCTCGAACCCAGCCCCACTAGACTGTGAGGACCATTTGCAGGCATGTTCCGCACTGCACCCAGCATCCAACACAGTGCTAGGCCTCAAACCTCATAAACGTTTGTGAAATGATGGGTGTTTCTGATTCCGTTCTTTTTTTTTGGGTTCAAACCACCTTAATCTGCCTTTATTTGATCCCATATATTTTGGTAAAGATCTGTCTGAGAAATGAAAATTTTTCTGACCCGTATGCCAAGGAGCCCTGGTTGTGCAGTGGTTAGGCACTGGAGTACTAGCTGGAAAGTCAACAGTTCGAACCCAGCAGCCACTCCATGGGAGAAAGATGTGCCAGTCTGCTTCTGTAAAGATTACAGCTTTGGAAATCTTATGGGGCAGTTCTCCTCTGTCCTGTAGGGTCACTATGAGTCAAAATTGACTTGATGGCAGCGGGCTTGGGGTTTTTTTGGTTTGTTAAAAAAACCCAGCATCCAACAGTACTGAGAGTACCATATTTCAAGATCTTTAATCAATCATGGCAGGAATTGGGCCATATATTTTGGTTCTTTCTATCCTCAAGAATTGCTTTTTGAAAATTAACAGTTTCAGTAATCTATACCTTTTGATTGTCTCAACGATATAAATCTTGGAATCCATGTAAGGGCACTTGATGCTGAGACCTATTTCTTTCACAGAGAGTTGCCTAGTTTGGTTTTAGGTATGAAATCAAAGGTCTGAGCTGCTGCCTTTCACTTGATCATCAGGGTTTTGCTGAGCAGGGGCAAATTATTTGGGCTCATTTGCTCCCCATGGTACAGTACAGCTGATCAGAGCCTTCTTTGCTTTGCAGGAATCGATAGCAGGTACAATGAAGGCTGCAGAGAGCTGGCAAATTATCTTCTGTTTGGTTTGTACAATCAGAATAGCAGTGATTTTGAGAAAACAGGGTTTTCTGAAGAAGTTCTAGATGGTAAGTATATATTGGTAAACTCAGCATATGGGGAAGGAGTGGGTGGCTTATTTCTTCTGGTCCTTATTTCATAGTCTTTTTATGGGCAAATGTGATCAAATTTACAACAGCCCAAAGCCCCAGTCATTTTTTGCCTTTTTAAAAATAAAAACAACACTTCTTCTTTGTTGATATTTTAAGTAACATCCTCCCTTGGTCACATTGCTAGATGATAAGAGAGTAAGGACAAGTAGTTTTCAGAATATACTTACTGGGTAAATAAGCTTTAGGGAAAAAAGTAAATATCAATGTTTGGCTTAATATCTCCTTGGCAAGGTACTAGCTTTTTTCTTAATTGCCCACTGCCTCTTCATGCTGGGAGGCTCAGATTGTGGGCTGTTGTCCTTTAAAAGCACTTTCAGTTGTGAATCAAGGATGAGCCTGCAGGCTGCATCTACAAGGAAGACTTCATGTGGATCCTCAGCTTAGGAACAAAGGCTCTTTGTCCTGCTGTGTCTTTGGGAATTTTCTACGTGACTTTAATTCATGACGATGCCTGTGACTACAGTGCAGGCTTTCTGCTTGCATTCCCCTTTCCTCAGCTTTAAGACACTTGTCCTGTGTTAATGCTGCTGTGGGCTGTTGCCCAGGAGCAATCTCTGATATCACATACTTAGTGTCACGACTTGTCTGCCACATGGGTCAGGAGACACAGGAATAGACAAATAAGACTGGGCAGAAGACAGACAGCTCTTGTGAAGCAGCTAGGGGCAGCATGAAAGCAAACGTCTGATGTTGAAATAATCGAGTGCAGGGTTTCCAAATGGGGGAGATTTTGCCCCACCGGGGACATTTGGCAGTGTCTGGAGACAGTTTTTATTGTCACCACTGTGGTGGGGGTGGGGGGTGGGAAGAGGACTGCTCCTGGCATCTAGTGGGTAGAGGTCACAGATGCTGCTAAACATCCTAAAATGACAGGGCAGCTCCGAACAACAAGAATTATTTAGTCTAAAATGTCACTAGTGCCAAGATTGAGAAATCTTGGTCTACTGTATGTGAAAGTTTTTCTGTGGTAAAGTCCTTCTCTTAATAATGTCTGTCCGTTTAGACTGATTAAAAATTTCCTTTTTATTAGGAGATGCAGAAAGAGTAGGCTAAAATTATTCCTTGCTTTAAATTTTTTCAATCCAAATTTGGTTTCAGATTTTGAATTTAAAAGATGTTCCTAAAAATAAAAATGTCCTTACACTGTACTGGTCTGAAAAGAATTATTCTTGCCAGTTCATTTAAAGAGTTATAAAAATAAATGTGTAGACAGATGTTTGTACCAACCGCACATTTCTCTGCTAGGACATTACAGTCCTGAAATTAAGTATGTAGATAGTTTCAGTCCTTGAAGGTGTGCTTTTGTGCTTATCTTTAACTTTACCCTGTCTCCTGGGTGCTTAGGAAATGAGCATTTTCCTCCAAATTAATAAACGCATTTTTTAAATCCAAGTAATTGGAAAGCTGAGCTCACCAGATTTGTGCTTCTACATTTTGACCTCTAATTATGTAAGAGAAAAGGGGCCAACATCAGGGATTTATTTTTAAAGAAAACTTTTAGAGTAGTTTACATATTCATCTCAACTCTTAAACTTTCTTTTACCTGACTATGTACTTTGTTAAACTGTTGTTCATAGTGATGACATCAGAGTTCTGTGAGATCCTGAGAATACTTAATCAGGTTTGGTAGGTGTCGTGTTATACCTTTTATTGAATCCTAATTCTTCAAGATATGTTTGTTATACATTAGTGTAGAGTACAATATACATGGGAAGCCCTCAGTCTCTCCTCAGTGATAATCTACAAGTGATTCAGGATGGGACTCTCTTGGAGGGTATGTGTGAGGGACAGTGTGCTAAGAGATGAGAGGAGCCCCCTTTCCCACTTCTTGCCCCTTTAACTCTAGGACTGACTCGAGAATCTACAGTGAATAGACTGCTCCATGCTGGCTTCCCTAGAACACCTTGGGTGTGACCAGTGTGGAGCTCAGGGTGGCTTAAAAAGCCAGCATCATGGAGCTTAATTCTAGGAGACCACCCAGCTGTGGGACTGGGTGTGGTCAGTATTTATTGAGCTTATAATATGTTTTCCTAGAGTGTGATCCATCACACTGTGTTACTGTGTTGGCCCTGCTCTAAACCTGCTGCGTTAGCTGCTCGCTGTCCCCATGCACCTTTCTTAACTCCAGCCACCTCCTCTAGCAACTTCCCTAGCTTTTCTTCTTAGAGGGAGGCCTAACGGCTCTGACTCCTGAGGCACCGTGGAGTGGAGCCTCTGCTTTTCCTCTGAAAGGACCACTGCCTTCTTTCTCAGTGTTAACACTGCTCTGCTATTCCTGCCCCATTTCATATTTCTTTTGTTAGTTTACCTGGGTTTATTTGCGCATTTGGGATTGCTTTCTTTACTTGCCCTACCGACAGTTGATGGTTATTTCTTAAATCTGTGAGCTGCTGATACATTTATAGAAGCCCTTCCCACTTGCCTCTTACTTCCTTCCTCCCAGCCTTTCCTGTGTACAAAATTCACCACACAAAGTAACCCTTCCCAAAGCTGACAGGCTGAACCAGTCACTGGCCATACTTGGTGCTGTTTTCCTGCCTTGGTGGCTGTAGGCTACGGCATTTCCATGTGATATTTATCTCAGCAGTGAAGTGCACAGCTGAGTTTAGTACCACAGATTTGACCGTGTTGAACTTCACAAAATACAATTCTTAAGTAGCTGAAGGCTGTTCTTTTGGCTTATCTGTGGCTGTGTTGCCATAACCAGAGGGCCACAGGAACATCTCATGGGGAGTAGGAAATCCTTTGCTGTCAGCACTTGAGAGTTCCACAGTCACTTTGAAACATGTTTCCTAGTTAAGTAATATTAGGGTTAGAGTTTTGTTACATTGTCTCAGAAGTAGTTTTAATAGCTTTACTACTTATGTGGGCAGAAAATGTCTACAGGAAATGCCTTCGATGATCTTTCTCGTGTTTTGATTTTTTCTTGCAGATATAATTATATTGATTAAATCAGATAGTGTCCATCTGTACTGTAATCCTGTAAACTATCGCTATCTCTTACCCTATGTGGCACATTGGAGAAATCTGCATTTCCACTGCATGACTGAAAATGAGGTGAGAAGAAAAGATAGACTAGGCATTTAGAGACACGCTAAGAGTACTCTTTCCAGAAAATACTGATCTGGAACAGGAAGCCCCTAAAATGATCAAATTAGAGTGTGGTTATACAAAAAATGGTTACTTGTTTTAAGTGGAAAGTTTCATATTTCATTATGGTGCTATGGATATGTTGTATGCCTGAAGGAGGCAAAAGGGGCCGTTTAAAGCGGCACAAATGGTTAAGCCCTTGACTACTAGCTGAAAAGGTTGGTGGTTGGAATTCACTCAGAGGCGTCTAGGAAGCCAGGCCTGTTGATCTGCTTCCAAAAGATCAGAGCCTTGAAAACCTGTGGGACAGTTCTACCCTGCACACATGCGACCACCGTTCAGTCAGAGTCGACTTGACGACAACTGACAACAATGTAAGTCGGCCCGTGGACCTACCTTCCTGCCCTGCTTCTTTGATCACCAGCCTGAGCCCAGTTTCTAGGGGACTAGTGCCTAGGCACTGTCCCAAGACAATTTTATAAGCTTTGTGATGTTCCCGTGTTTGGAATTTCTTGGTATATGCTTTTGCTTTCTTTTAGGCTCTTTGCAAGGGTTTGGCTGGAAATCAAATTGGGATTTGAGATTTGGGATTTCACAGAAGTTGTCACCCGATAATTGGTCTCAAGAACCCTTCTTTCTATGTAAACTTTTAAGGATTTTTTGGGAGAAGTTTTCTCTCTTACATTTAGATCTCTGAGCTATTTTCAGTTGATTTTTGTGTATGGGATGAGGTAAGGAAGTTATAAGTGTTTCTGACCAGCAGACATAAAAAGTTGGCTTTGGAAATACTGCTTTGGGTGGGGTTCTCTAGAATTTCATTTGAGACAACTCTGATTGATAAAATGCAGAGAAAATATGGGACTTTGCATGATTGCTCATCTGGGCCTGTTTTCCTTTCAATTTTCCTCTTTAGTATGAAGATGAAGAAGCTGCAGAAGAATTTAAAATTGCCAGCTTTGTGGACATGGTTCGAGACTGTAGTAGAATCGGCATTCCTTACAGCTCCCAAGGTGAGTGTCTGACAGTAAGCCATTTTAGAACCTTGCTTGAGATGTGTGTGAATCGAGTGTCCCTACTTACAGTTTCATTGGAGGCATTCAGCTGGGAAACCCATTGATCCATTTGTTCTAAAGCAAAGGGATCAAGCAGAATGAAATTTGGGGATCTTCCTTTCCAGGCTTATAATTTTAACTGTGAAGTTTCCATAGCAACACTGCAGACCATAGCCAGGTAGAGCTGATAAGGGATTTCCCACACTTGACTTCTAGTCTGTAGCACTTATTGTACATAGGGTATAGATGTGTAGCCTCTAGGTAATTAGAATAATAATTCGGATATCTATTATAAAAAATATGCTGATCCAGTGAGGTTCAAAAATGATGTGTAAATAACAGGAAAAAATAATTTTAGTAGTGCTTATATCTTTAAAAAAACTTTTCACAGCGAAGCTATTGTTATAAAAAAGGAAAACTTTTGATTTGGCAATTTTCCCTTGAGGAAATTGGTTGGCTATGTTGCTTGAGGGAGAGGAGCCAAGTTTGGGTCTGTCAGTAATTAAATCTACTAAATGATGCAAGTCAGATGTAAGAAGCCTCTGTTTATTTACTTACATATTTACTTCCTTAGGAAACCAGAGTGTGAAAATAGACTGTGAGGAAATCTGAATTTGTGTAACTTGTTTGTGGCTTGAATTTTTCTTGGCTTCCACTTTGTATTTCTAGTTTCAATATCTGACTGTTTTATCCATTCCAATTTTATTTGGCTTGATAAGGCCTTGGTAAGCTTGTGAGAAATGAGGCCTGCCTAACCACATTAGATCAGGTTTAGACTCTTATATCCATCCAGAATGGTATTTGATATGTACTGTTGTATTTGATTCCTCTAGGTCACTTGCAGATATTTGATATGTTTGTGGTGGAAAAATGGCCGATTGTACAGGCCTTTGCACTTGAGGGCATTGGAGGGGATGGTTTTTTTACCATGAAATATGAGGTATGTATGAAAAGCAACATGCCTGGTTTTTGTGTGCCACTGGGCTGTTTCTATGAAGGTCCCCCAGTGTGGGTGTGTATCATTGTAACACCTCGGAAAGCTGGCGGTGACCTCCCAAGGGCATGGAGCAAGTTAGGCAAAGACTTGAAATGGAAAACAGTTGCTGTTTACGGCCTAGTCCCCAAATTGAGTTCCCGTGACCTCTCTTCTTGGACCCCTTCTCTGTCCTTCCTCCTCTCCTCTCCCCATTCTGAGTTAACTGTTCTTCCTCTTTACTCCTATAGCACCCTAGGCTGACTCTTCTCATAGCTTTCCTGTTATTTTACATTTGTCACACCTCCCCCTATTCACCCAGCTATTACCCACCCCTGGTCTTTGGACAGGAAGCTCCTTGAAAACAAAAACAGTCTTTTTGTTGTTGTTGTTTGTATGTCAGAAATTCATATAATTTGAAAACTATTCAAGGGCGTTGAAAGGGACAATACAGAATTTTGCATAAGTACGGTATACTAGAGGAATAAAAGGGTTAGCTTTTGTGGTAAGAACAATGTCTTTTATTTCAATATTCCTTGCATTTAGGAGATGACCAGTAAGTGTTTGTTAAGTGAAATAATGAATGAGTCTGGGAGAGGGAGATCACCAAGAGTAGAGCTTAGGGAGGATGGCCTGGTAGGTTAACAGTGTGACCACAGGCATGTAAGTGCCCCCAAAGGATCGCCACTGAAGTGACCTGCCCCCATCACAGGAAACTGGGGAGGGGGAGCATTGTCATACTAGAAATGGGGGCTTTCTGTTAGGAATAGAGCAAATAGGACCTTTGGAGCAATACAGGGGGCCAATTCGTACCCCTTCTGATAAGTAGTAGTGTCCCTCGGAAATGAATGGAGGCTTGCCTGGCAGCATCCTATCACACCCTCTAACGTGGAGCAACATGGCCATGGGGCAGAAGGGAAGCGTACCACTTGGACTCCACTTTTCCTGCTCTGAAACCACAGTATTTTCACATTGGCTACAAGTAGAAGAACATCAACAAGGCCAAGGGAGCTGCCCCGATAGGAAGTCATGCTCTGTAATTTGGAAAAGTCAGGGCTTGAAGGGAGGCAGGCCATAGGGGGTAGAAAAAAAGCTTATAATTTTATAATGTTAATATTTATTTTTAATTTATTATATTATATAATTATATAATATATATGATTATATTATTATTATATATTAACGCCAGGAGCTTATGTGAATTAACTGGTTTAATTCTTAGAATAACCCTCTAAGGTAGATACCATTAGTATCCCTATTTTGTAGGGAGGTTAAATGAATTTCCCCAAGTTCCATAGCTAAGGAATGACAGGCTGGGGCCAGGTGCAGACGGTCTGGCTTCAGAGCCTGTGCTCCTAACCCCTGGGCCGCAGGTGGTGAGTGGAGCCTTGGAAAGCCGTGCACTGGGAGGCCACAGGGTTGAGGCAACCCAAGTGATTCGGGCCTTCTGGCTCCTGCCTTAAGGTGCATCACAACGTGGAGTCACATCCAAAAGGAAAAAATCCCCTTCCAAAAATCTTCGGAAGGCAATGTAGATCTCTGCTGTGGGTGGTTTTTTTAGGGGGTAGGGTAAACAGTAAGAAGAAAACAGCACACAACATGTGGTAAGAGTTCCTATAAATCTTCTCTGAGGGTCACTTTCTCCAGATCCTGCCCTTTTCTGTAGCTGCTAATTTTAATTCTTTCAAACACTTGCCCTCCATCCACACCTCACTCCCTCCCACCTGAGTTCTCTTCTTTGCCCTGCCCCTCCCGGTCCTTTCAGGTGTGGAGCAGTTTGGCCTACTGATTGGCTCTGCCAGTGTCCTCTCTGCTCCACTCTGATTCACATAATGAAGGCCTGTTAACTGCCTGAGCCAGAAAGGCTCCTGCCTACTTTGAAGGCCAAGAGAAGGAGAACTACAGATACTTCAACTTAATTTTCTAAACCTCTGTTTTATTGCATGGCATTACCCAGAAGAAACTCATTAACCCGGAGGGTGTTTTGTGCCTGATGTGGCAGATGCCCGCATGAAAAGGGAAGCCAGGCCCAGCCATAGCTTTTACTTAGCCTGTAGGCTGGGCCAAACTTAGTCATGGATATAGAGAACTTTTTCCTCGAAGCACAGAGAAGTTTCTCTGCTGGGGCTTTCCTTGCTCCCAGCTTCCTCCTTCTTAATCTCCAGCTGCTGGACCTGTGACTTGGCAATGTAAATTTACACTAACTAGCTCCCCGAGGGGAGGATACTAATAACAAGCTTCTGAACAACGGGAATAACCATAGAGCATTCATTCACCTCTTTATGGACAAACATAGGATCTTCATACTGAAAGGAGGAGCAAGAATGGTAAAAAGATTCAACAAGATACAAGAAAGATGCAGGGATAGATGAGCATGCTTTTAAAATTTTCTCCAGGAAACAAAATAAAAATTGAGGAAAATATGTCTTTTATACTTTTTAAAAATCAAGTTGTAAAGCAAAAAATAAGGTGCAGCAAGTAGAACAAGCTGAATTGAAAAGGGAGATGGATGACACATTAGGAAAAATTGTAAGAAGTCTCAGAATTCATTATAGAATTAAATGTGTGTTAAAAATAGAACTTAAATTCAATACCCAAAAATCTAATCAGCTGATATACTTGAAAAGCTGTTCCAGAATACAGAGGAAGAGATTAAAGCAATGAGAAAGAAGATGATTAAATGGAAGCTAGAGAATGGAAATTGATGATATTAAAAATGAGGGAATTAATTGAAGGTATTTATATACTAGTCTATGCCTCCCTCCTTCCCCCAGGCATTTATTTACTGTTTGCCACCTCC